CGGATCACTATCTATAGATTCTTTCTTCACTTAAGCTGGTTCATAAGATTGACAAAGCCTAAATTTAGGTATAAATTAAAGCACAACTTAATTTATTATTATTATTTTTTTTAAACAGCAAAGCTTTCTTAAATTAAAATAGCTAAGAAGTCGCGTACATCAGCTCAAGATCTGGGAAACAAACACGCCAGTAATTCAACAATATCATTCTCAAATAAACCTGCTAATAAGTACATGACGCGGGATCAGCCAGCCAACTCCATCCATAACAAAGAAAAATTGCCCAATAATTGATGTTTGTCCCTCTTTCCTTTATTTTTTAATGAATAATTTGGAAGTCTACAGTCTATGAAACCGTAACTCGAGACAATCCGCTGCCGGAGAGAATGCTGCATTTGTTTGCTCCTATAGATTTTACCAATTTCTTTGGCTGAAATCCAAACTCTGATATGCTTGTGTATGCAACCATGGTTTAAAACTTTACTATGATATAAAAAAGTATCACTAATGTTGTGTTTTATTTCTTGGACAGATTTCAAAGGAAAAGAAGAAATTTGCCAGTTTTTTTCTTTCACCTATTACTCATTTATACCTTAGCTTGTTTCTAAATTTGAATTTTTACAGGATACCACCATATGTCTTGCAAAGGTTGAGGAAGCTTACAGGCATGAGAAAAAAACCAAATCTGCAATAGCAAGAGCTATCCAGTCATGTTATTGCAATGAACTGGATGATGAGATTGACGCTGAAGATGAAGATGTTGATGAAAACAGGCTGCTGCCTGCGATGAACAAAATCTGGCCTTATCTGATTCTTTGCCTGAAGAATAGACTTTCAGTGGTATCATTCTAATTAACAAACATTTAACATTTTCATTGAAATCCAGTTTTTTTGTTCTGCATCTTCTTTTCAACTGCTACTAATTTTCACCTTTTTCATTTGTTCTTAAGCTTATTATATTATGCAAGCCTAATTGTTGCCCACAACATCTTTATATGAAGCAAAATGTTATAAAGTATTTAATTGTTTGGTTATGATATGTATTAAGCTTATATTTCTTATGATTGTGGAATACGAAATCATATTATAGTTTTATAATGCTGCCATTGCTCTTATTTTCAGAAAAGTAAATCATCTAATCCATAATTACGTTTTTTACATTTTTCAGGCTGTCATCAGAAGATGTGCAGCTGTGCTAACCAAAATAGTCCAGACAGCAGGTGGAGATTTCTTCATTCGCCGATTCCACACAGACGGACCCATCATCTGGAAACTATTGACCACATCGCCTTTTCGTCGAAAACCGTCGCCGGCAACCAATTCCCGACCGTTACTCCTCCCATATCGAAACAGCCCGCTGACATCCGAAGATCCGATGGCCGAGACCTCCAACATGAAAATTCAAGCAGCAATTCTAAACATGATCGCCGACATTGCCTCGAATGAAAGGAGCGCTCCGGCGTTACAAACGGTGTTCAAGAAGGCGAGCGGTCTGGTTGTAGGAATTGCCTGCAGCACTGCAGCAGGTGTGAGGGAAGAATCCATAAAGGCACTTTCAGGACTGGCCCATATGAATCCTGACCCAATTTGGCTTTTAATGGCTGATGTTTACTACTCACTGAAGGATAAGGAGCTGCCCCAACCACCAAGTCCAGATTTGGCGGATGTTCGGCAGCTTCTGCCTCCTCCATTGTCTTCCAAGGAGTATCTGTATGCGCAGTATGGTGGGGATACTTTTGGATTTGATGTTGATCCAATCTCTGTGGAGAGAGTGTTTCATAAGTTGTGCTCTCAGGTATTCAATTGAATTTTGTTCACCATGTATTACTGGTGTATGTACATTTGCAGAAATACCAGTCAAGACATATATATTTACATATCTAATTCCTAAACTTTGTTTCTTTACATGTATACAGCCCAAATATTTCATTTCACATTAAAATTATCACTATTTTAATTTTGTGAATTTCTCGTTAGATATTCAATTGAATTTTGTCCAAAAATAGAAAAAAAAATAAATAAAAATTGGGCATAATAGTTTGTGTTGTCAATTTACTCTTGTAAATTTATTAGATTGTGGAGTTCCCAAGTAATAATTATAATAATTATTATAATAATATTAATAAAAGATAATGTAGAATAAAATATTTGACAGCCATTAATCATCAGCTAGACCGTTGCGGCTACTTCAATATTAATTATGAAAAAATGGTGGGGGGAAAATGTATTAAATAGAAAGATATTTGCATTTTTCATTCATAATTAAATTTAAAATGTAAATAATAATATGAATGTTTAAATGTTAGGTATGCAAATGCTTAAAAATATGTGGTGTATATGTACATGCCACTATTTTTTAATACAATTGCACCGCATATTTAATGCTTTTTTATTTAATGGTTCGAGTTTTCTCTGGCATAGTTGTTCTTAAGAAGGTGGGACTCGAATTGTTAGGCATATTGGGGGTGGTCGGAGGCTCGTATGATAGCCTTTTGTCATTCCTTAAATAAAATACAAATTAAGTGCAATAAAAATAGTAGGGTGAAGTGTTGAAATAGTCATCGAGTATATACATAGGGCCGATTGGGGACGGTTAATTTGATAGGGTTGATTTGAGAGGACTGAGTGACGAGCGGCCAATTTTAACAGATTCTCTGTACAATCTCAGCGTCTTAAACAATAAAAGTAGAATTATGTCATACACTTACAATTTCTAATCCTTGGTGATGACATAACGAGCTATAACTTTGCGTTAATTATTAATATTATAGCAGAAAAATGCAACAAATTTATTACAAAAATTCAGAGTGAGAAGTAACTGATCAATTCTTCTTTATTATTACTTCAATAGGCTGCATAACTTCACTGTAATATGCATCAAATTTGCAGCAAGTCAGTACGAAATTTGTGCTTCAATAATTTGGTCAATCCCTGAAAGATTTACCATAAAACTAAACCCTAAACCCTAAAACTACTTAAGAAATATATTTTTTTTATTTTTTTCTAATTTTTTCTAGCATTAATGTATTTTTGGGATACATGTCGGAATGCCACCCAATATTTATGTATTTTCATATATATCACCCAATATATGGCACAAATATTATAATTCTAACTTTTAAAATTGAAATAAATCTTTTCATTCATAAGTAATGATACGCTATCAACAAATTTTCATCAAGTTCATCAACATGTTGATGTTGTAATTTGGGAAACCCAGTAACTCTTTTCTGCTTATGGAACAAGTAGTTGCAATTGTAATCATTTTTTATAATGAAATTCTTTAGCTATGTCAAATCCCTTGATTTTTCTCTTTTAAGATTTTCATGTAAAAATTTCTAATGTCTTTATTAGTTACATTCTCTTTTTTCAATATGGGTTAAATCTTGATATCATGCTAAGACAATAATCTAATACTCAAATGTCATGAATTTTCTTGCACTCATCAATTATGATGATGATGATGATGATGATGATGATGAT